ATAGTGAAAATCTAATCATAAAAAAGAAAAGATAATAAGGGCATTATTTTCCCGCAACAAACAGTAACATCATTAGACTAAAAAACCAAACAAAGTCAACAACACTCGTTTATTCACATTCTTCAAACTCAACTCAGCAAAACCCTAAAACAGAATCAATGTCGTCTTCAGAGATTCTCCAACAACTTGAATCTCTGAAGGAAGAAAAGACCAAAATCGACCACAAAATTTCACTTCTCGAAGCTCAATTGAAGGAAATTAATCTCCAAAACGCCGCTGCTGCATCACCCAATGGCTCTTTACGGTATCCTACAAATGGATTAGAACCGCACATGATTCATAGATACAGTCGGCATCTTGTTCTTCCTTCATTTGGTGTTCAAGGTACAAAACTAAGGGTGCTCGTTATCTCTATTTAGTTAAACACCTTAATTAAGCGCTTATTGTGGAAGTGCTTTTATATAAAAGTGATTTTATATAAGCTATTTATGTAATAAAAGATTATATAAAGTTAGGGTGTAAGTTGTTATCTTTATATATCCTATGAAAATAAGTTCTTTACATGTTATAATGTGTTTATAAAAGCTGTCACAAACGGTCTCACAAGTGTTTATTTGTAATGTTTGGTTTCTATTTTGGAAGAGACAAAAGTAATTTTAGAGGTGTAGAATTGATCTTGATGTGTTTGTGTTTTCAAAAGTAGAAATGATTGTACCTGCAGACTTGATTCTAGCTGAAGTTATGATTTGAGGTTTTTGAATATAAACCGCGTCAGACCGGGAACCGCTCCCCCACTACCCGCCATTTACTTTAGCTAAAATCAATTTGATTGAATTAGTTTATTCAAAAATCAGTTTTTGTCACCGTAGATCCAAACACACGCAATGTCATTAAATAACTTCAAGCGAGTCAATTCAAACAGGGCTTAGAATATAGTAGTAATTGATTTTGGATTGCAGTTGCTTTATAGAGATTAGAAGTATTTAAGTTTTGCTAATTCATAAGCTTTGAAAATTGTTTTATCTTCTTCACTATGCCTCCTTGTGCAGAAAGATATTTCTGAATGACACATTTTTCATTCTTTTGTTGCGCAGGACAAGCAAATTTGTTGAAGTCGTCAATTTTAGTTGTGGGAGCTGGAGGACTGGGTGCTTCTGCATTGTTATATTTTGCAGCTGCTGGTGTTGGTATAATATGACACTTTTTCGAATGATTTTTGCCTTATTCTATAATCCATTATCTTGTTAAAGCTTACATTTTGAAAATTGTACTCAGGTAAATTGGGGGTTCTCGATCATGACAAGGTTGAGTTGAATAATATGCATAGACAGGTACTTTTGTTTTCCTAAACTTGTCGTATGGCCCCTGCAACATGTAGTTTGTGTGTTGTTCATATGTGTTGTATGGTGGTGTTTGCATTTTTGTGAGTACAAGTTATTCCTAACGTGTATCTTATTCAGTTCAACTCATTCATGATGTTTTAGATTATACACACGGAAGCATATATTGGTCAGCCAAAAGTGAAATCTGCTGCTGCTGCTTGTCGCTCGTATGTTGTTCTCTTTAATCTTACCTATAATTCGTGCTGATTTTCAATCAAATGTTTGTACAACTTTGCATCACTATTGTTGGAACATGGAACTAAGCTTTTACGAATATTTAGGATCAACTCATCTATTGAAGTTGTGGAACATGAAGAAGCTTTGAAGAATTCCAATGCTTTGGAAATTTTCAGCAAGTACGTCTCCTTTCTATAATAAGATAGACCGATCTTTTTTCTTGACACCTGTTTTCTTCTATGCTTACTTTTTTCATTTTCCTTTAAATATTACCGCTGAAACCGCATGGCGTGATATTATTATTTTTTTATCTTGAATTTGCTAGATACGATATAATAGTGGATGCAACAGATAATGCACCCACCAGATATTTGATCAATGACTGCTGCGTGGTACTAGGAAAGGTACTTCTTAATGTAGACCGGTCTTTTCCCCCCAAATTTGTTTTCCTATAAATCATATTTCCTATCTTGAATTTGCACAAGTACAACATAAGTTACTTCTATTGAAACTTTTTTTAATTGCTTTCGTTGTACCTGTGCAGCCCCTTGTATCAGGTGCGGCTGTGGGATTGGAAGGACAGGTATACATCTAATTATCTTTTGTTCTACCATTTTATGTTAAATCATGCTTCAGGGAGAAACTTGTACTCTTAGTTACTTGATTATATCACATTAATTTGAGGTATAAATATGGAAAACGTATGATGCAGCTCACTATCTACAATCACAACGGTGGTCCTTGCTTTCGATGCCTCTTTCCAACCCCACCACCTAGAGCAGCATGCCAAAGTTGTGCCGATGGTGGAGTACTTGGAGTAGGTATGCTCTCTTCTTTGGCAATAACAAAAAGCTTGTCTGATTGTTTAATTCTTGTACATGTCTCTTTTAGCGAAGGTCTGATTACTAGATGCAGAGTTTTTATCATCCCCGTTTACCGTTTTAAATTCTTATCATTCATGTTTCAACTTACATTGCTATTTCAATTTGTTCTGAATTTCAGTTCCTGGTATAATTGGCTGTCTCCAAGCTCTTGAGGCGATTAAGATTGCTGCTTCTGTTGGTGAACCACTCTCTGGAAGGATGCTTCTCTTAGATGCATTGGCTGCACGGATCCGTATTGTATGTTATAATAACTTCGCAGCCTTACAAGATGGAATTAAGATGTATAATTCTAATGAATCAATGATAGTAATAGAATGCTTAATTTTGAAGGAAGCATTGCGAGAAAGAAATATTAAGATTATGCATTAAGATCTAGGGCCTGTTTGGATAAACAACTTATTTGCAGCTTATAGCACAAATACTTAACAAAATAAGCGCTTATGAATAAGCTCGCATAAGCTGTTTTTAACAAAAGATAAAATACATTTAAATTGTTTTTATATATGTTATAAGTTGCTTTCACTAGCTATCTTAAAGAATTTGTAAAAATAAATTCAGAAAAATATATAAAAAATGTCATAAGCAGTTTTGATAGTCTCTCAAACAGTGTCATAAAACTTATGAGAGTATATAAACTCAAATAAGCTAATGTATATGGCAAGAGCTTATATAATCTTATTGCACAGGTTAAAATCAGAGGAAGGTCTTTGCAATGTGAAGCTTGTGGAGAAAATGCAATAATGAATCAGCAGTACTTTAGAGAATTTGATTATGAGAAGTTCACTCAAACTCCCTTGTCTGAGGTATGATTTCTTTTTACTATTGCCTTGAGTTTTCAAATCAAATCCTTATATTCAGATGAAATTATTTTACATTTAATTGTTTTTGCTTTTGTATTTTATGCATTGGATGATGTCGGAGGTAAAAAGAAATCCTCAAAAGACTACAAAATTGTCTTCCAGTATTTAAGTTTTGAGTTGCTACTATTTCTATATGCCATTTTCAAGTGGTGGTCACATATCAATAGTTCTAAGTCCCAAGATGTTTGAAGTTTCGAGTAACAACTTAGACTTCACTATTTGGCCCAAACAAAAGTTAGTTTTGGTATCAAGCAGTGTTGTCGATCGCGGATCTCAGAAAATAGTAGTCTGTTCAAATTCCGCCTAGTGGTTTTGTACTAAATAGCGTATCGAGGAACAATAACAATTTGTTCAAATTTCTCTACACTATAGCACTACAATGCTGCCATTTAACTACACTATCGCAAAAAATAGTTTTACGCTGTCGTCTAATGAAAATTCAATACGATGAGTTTTCGTTGAATATCATATAAAACTAACCAACACTGATGATATTTTTCATATCATTAAATGCAGGCTCCATTGAAGTTAAATCTACTTCCCAGTGAGTCTAGAATCAGCAGCAAGAAGTACAATGAAATCATTCTCAACAAGGAACCACATGTTCTTGTTGATGTCAGACCAGCTCATCATTTCAAGATTGTGTCTCTTCCGAATTCCGTCAACATTCCGTTCGCAGATATAGAGTTTAGGTTGCCTGAAATATCATCAATTTTGAAGAAAGATGAAGAGGAAAAAAGTGCAGAATTGTATGTTGTATGCAGAAGGGGAAATGATTCTCAAAGGGCTGTTCAATACCTTCACAAAATGGGATTTGCTTCTGCTAAGGATATTGTTGGAGGTTTGGAGTCTTGGGCTAAAAATGTTGATCCTAAGTTCCCCACTTATTAGCTATGTAGTTAAATTTTGATCAAGTTACTTCTAACTTGATTATTATATAATTTTTATGAGTGCTGTATTCATTTTCCTTGTATTTTTCACCTTATGTTTAGAATCCATTGAGAAACTTTTGCATTGGTTAGAACATTTTTCACCTTATTTTCCTTGTAATGGATTGGTTTACACTACAACTTAATCTTTGTTGTTTCTACCAAGTCTTTTAATGGAGTATTCTGTTTTTAGAAAATTCTCAATTCATCCTAAGGATCCATGATTTCCAAAGATGCTTTTGAAAACAGACATGGGAGCTAATATAAAATTTTCTATGTAAATAACATTAACATTGAAAATTAAAATATATCAAATAAATTGTTTGATGATTAAGAGAAAATTACAGTTATTAATATTTGGAAGTTACCAACAACAAGACTATTATTCTTCTCGGCTCATGGATTTTACTGTTTTTGTTGCTGACATTGTATCGCCTTAGCCCTTATGGAGTAAAAAAATTAACATTTGAAAGTTTAGTGATTTTAATAAAACTCCACACTTATGTTTAGCCTCTAAAAATTACTAAATTGGATACTTAACACTGTCATATGTCCATAATGTAATGCATAAAATGAGCTGGTTTCTATACTTTGGTCATACACTATGATGTAAAAAACCAAACTTGCATATCAAAAGTTAATACTAATGTCTAAAATTATTTTTCCCACTCTCTCACTCTATATGTGAGAGGTACCAAAAACAATTTTAACTAAGATAATAACTGAAACAATTTATCATCTTGATCACTTCGAAAGTGAATGTATCTTTCACCATCCAAGAAGCAAAACCTTTAACAGAGCCATCCTAATGTATAAACCATTCTTTGCCTGCCTAAAATAAGCAGCTCTTGGGTCATTGTCGACGTCAGCTTCGATCTGCATCAAATTACAGCGACCAAGTTAGTTTATATTGAATCTTAATGCTTATGTTCGTAATGACTTTGACTTTGAATGTAAAAATATCATCCGACATGGTTGTATACTTGTATTGTATGTACTTACTTCGTCGAGTTTTGGAAGAGGGTGCATTACAACAGCATGATTTTGCATCACCTTTAGAACATCTTGATTCACGATATACTTTCCTCTTGCTTCTTCATAAAGGTTAAGTTTCTCTCCGAATCTTTCCTTCTGAATGCGAGTTTGATAAACCACATCGCATTTAGAAGCGACTTCCATCAAATCAGAACTTTCTTCCCACTCCACTCCTTTTGATGTCAGATACTCTTTTATGTCATCCTGTAAAAGAAAACTCCATAGCTCAGCAGCAATTTCGTGTATCGTGTTCATGATACCATAACTAAGTATTTGCATTGAAACAATTACCTTCATTTTAACAACATTAGGCGATACAAAATATAATTTCACGTCACGGTACTTGGCAAGTAAGTATGCAAGTGAGCGAACTGTCCTCCCGTTAGCGAGGTCTCCGACAAGTCCGACTTTAATTCCGTCCAGTTTTCCTATCTCTCTTTCAATGGTATAAACGTCTAACAACGCCTAAGAAGTTTGAAAAAAGCAAGAGTTGAGCATAATAGTACCATCCATTTGCTTTTTAAGAGATAGAAATGTATCATCCTATGTTCCTATCTGATTGACTAACTTTGTTAAGCATTTTGCATCACTAAACTATATGCAGGGCCGTCGTTGAGGGAGTGTAAGGCAGGCTACCGTACAGAGCTTAAAATTTGTCATGGTTAACCCGTGCCTAAATAGGATCTCACAAAATATTTATCACTGTTAAAACGTGGTTAAATAGAGCCTCTATTTATTCTCATGGTTGAACTGTGGCTAACCTACTCAGACCTCCAAAAACTTAAGACGGCTCTGCTGTATGCCTGAAAATTCGTTCATACCTGGCTAGGATGCTGTCCTGGGCCATCCCCTGCATTAATAACCGGAATGTTAGCAGTCGCTGCAGCTCTTCTCGCTGCACCACTTTCAAAGTGGCGCAATACAATTATATCAGAGTAACCTTCAACCGTTCTTATAGTATCTGCAATAAGCAAAGTTATACGAAAATACATTAAAAAAAATGAAATGAATCCACAAATGAACTTTGATTTTGTCACATAAAATGGAGTGCGCACCTTCGAGCGTCTCTCCTTTAGCCGCAGACGAAAACTCCCTAGCATTTTCAGTTGTGAGAACATCACCACCTAATCTTTTCATAGCAGACTCAAACGAAAGCCTAGTTCTAGTGGAAGGCTCATAAAACAACGTCGCCATGAGGTAACCCTTAAGCATTTGGCTACCCGGAGAGTTACCCCGAATATTCTCCATACTCCTAGCAACTTCAAATATAGCCCCGAGAGTTTCTCTATCAAACTGTTGAGCTTCAATCACATCATCAAATTGAAACTTTTGCCCAACAGAAAACAAAGGTGCACTTTCAACCTGAAGCGCACCTGCCCGGCACAAGAGTTTCGATTTTTCCGAAACTCCAACCTGCCCACATGATGGCCATGGGCGGTTCAGCAAACAACAAGCAGAGGCTTTTGAAGACATCTTTGGATTAGATACTCCCACATGCATAGAGCATGAGAATAACATAGAAGCAACTGTCATTGTGTTTTGTTCTATACAAATCAGCTACAAAACACAGAACAAAGTCATGTAATGTTTGCTATGAACTATTACACAGAAGCATACCAAAAACAATGAATTTAAAACTCAAAAGCAAAAGGGTATGAAAGTAACATGATACTAGTTTTTTAATACAAGAAAAAAATCACACGAATCCAAACAAGGTTCAAAAAGAGACAAAAGAAGAATCACCTGAAATCAAACACGGATCAAAAGGAGACGGCAGCAGAATCTAGAGTGAAAACACAACAAGATATTGAAGAAAATATAGTGAATTTGATGAATAAAACATATATATTATGATGAAATGGGAAGAATAAAAAGTTTAGAGAAGAAAAGAGTGTACCGCGAATGTTGTATTTTGAAGACGAGAGAAAGCAACGGCTTGAAAACAAAGATTCCGCTGTGTTGTCTGTCTGTGAATATAGAGATGCGACAAGAGAAGACGGCTTTGAGGAAACTAATAAAACCTTTGTTTTACTTAATGGGGCACAAAATTTGTGTAGCCCAATCACTTCTTTTACATTACTTTTGGGCTGGGTTGGGTCGGGTCGGGTCGGATCGGATTTTCTTCCAAATGGCATTTGTTTTAACTTTTTCTTTCTTAAATTACTTCAAGTAAAAAAAATTCAACTTAACATGAGGCAAAGATTATCGAAACCGGTATTATTAGGTTAAATGTCATCACCATGATTCGAACTCTAATATATGTGGTTGTGTTAATAAGTTTTTAGTAGTTATTATCACTCTGTCTATAAAACCAAACAAAATTATTGAAAATGAAAGAAATAAATGACGAAAAGTTTTATATAATTCCACTAAATAATTGTGAACTTTATATCTATTTCAGTTAAAATTTGTTTCCATGTAAATTTCTTCCTCGTCATTGGCTCATTCATCTTCTCTATTTCGTTCATTTTCTTTATTAGAGTCATCATCAATCCGACTCTATTTCATGAGATTTGAAATCTTTCTGTTTAATATTTCCATGTTCTCCACTTAACTATATCTTCTATCATGCTCAACACTTTTGAATCTCTTATTGTTATGAGGTGTCATGAAGGATCCAACTTAGATTTTATTATTTCTCTTGAACACATTGCTATGGGTTTTCTTTCGTGATCCCATTTCTAAAAATTATAAAAAAAACAAAGCATGCCAGAAGAAGAAAGCATGCCAAAAAAATAAAATAAAGCATGAAAGAAACAAACACATAGATATCATGTTTCATTTTTTCTGAGATTCACCAAAGAAGAAATTGTAGAGCTACACTATTGCAAACATGATGAGTAAATCACATATATGTTAACAAGATATTTGAAATTTGATTCTTTCATGAAGTTGAAGGCATTACTTGATAAGAAGCAAGAAGTGAAGTCCAATAGAATTAAAAAGAAATCAGTTTGGCTTATGGACTTTCACACTTATTAGTGGGGGTGTTTTTATTAATTCAATTAAAAGTTTATTTCTTTATCTTTTTCAGTTTGGGATAGACCCACTAGTGGTGAGAAAACCCTATTATTTATATTGTATTGTTGTCTTTGTTTTTGGTATGAGATAATATTGTTCAAGTTGTTTTATGTTTATCCTCCTTAGTAGTTTAATTTGATTTTACTCTTAACGTAAACATATCATTGGTGATTTCATCTCTTGAATTCATGACTCCTCCCAAACTACCCAAACCTTCTTCTCGCAAAATTATTGAAGAAGTTGTTCAGACTTCTCACGTTCACTTCAATCGGGTTATGGAAGAAAATCAGTAGCAAACGGATGAAAGATTTGAGAAAACTAACTCAGATCTGGAACAAATCCAAACCAGAATGGACAATGAGAAGCAGGTTGTTGATTCTCAATAGGAGAATATCATGGGTCTTCTTACAAAACTTGCAGCTTCAAAGGAACCACAACATTCAACACCTCCTCGGTCTGTTGCAAGCTCGTCAGATATAAGCCACATAAATTCATCTATTCCTATCACTATAACCACCCATGTTAATTCTGTTTTACATTGTGCTAACACATTCCATATTTCAGCCATTTTTACTCATCCTGCCACACAACCCATACACTCCACGACCCTCCCTCACAATTCCCCAACGCCTACTACTACAACTGTCATTCGCAATACAGCAGCCCCTTACACCAGATTTTCACCAACCAATCTTTTATGGAACCACCATTTATCCATACCCCTAATTCCTTTACCACCACACAGAATTATAACCTACCCTTTTATTCTCAAATGCCCTTTCCACAAATTCCTCAACCGTCTCCCTTACCCTCTTTTAGAACACCCAAACTAGAACTTGTAATGTTTGATGGTTCAAATCCACTCGAGTGGTTGTTTCAAGCGAATAAATTTTTCAATTTTTATCAATTAGCTCTTGAAAATAGATTGTCTATGATGTCATTTTACATGAGGGGTGATGCTTTATGTTGGTTTAAGTGGATGCATCAAAATCAATAATTAGTAGATTGGTCCTCTTTTACTAGAGCATTAGAATTAGAATTATGTTTTGGGTCGTCCACCTATGCTAATCATCAGGCTGAATTGTTTAAATTGAAACAAGAGGAGTATGTTGTTGAGTATCAAGCCAAATTTGAAAATCTGGAAAATCAAGTCATTGGTCTACCCCAAGAAGCAATCCTTAATTGTTTTATTTCTGGTTTAATACCTGATATCCAAAGTGAATTAGCCATTTACAAACCAACCTCTATATCCCAAGCAATTGGACTGGCTAAATCCATTGAATCTAAGCTTAGAGATGCAAAACCCAAGTTCCAAAAATCATTTTCCACCCCATTTAACCGTCCTAACCGTTCAGCCCAAAACACATACGTAAAACCATCAGGTTCTTCCACTACACAAAATGCCGCCACCCCAAAAACCCCAACCCCACCCCCAACAACCTAAACTACCTATCAGATGCATCTCTAACCTTAATTACAAGAACATCATGCACAATGGCTATGTTTTTATTGTGACGAGAAATTCATACCAGGTCATAAGTGTAGCAAAAACAAACTCCTTTTACTTCTGGTTGAAGATGAAAATCAAGTGACTACCGAAATGGATGAGGCTTCTAATACTGAAATTGATGAAGAGTCCAATGACACATAACATATTTCCAATTATCTCCTCAAGCTTTAACATGCCAGTTTTCTCCCCAAACTCTTAAGTTTCAAGGCTTTATTGGCGGCTTACCGGTGATGGTTCTAGTGGATACCGGTATCACCCATAATATTTTGCAGCCCCGTATCGCCCAACATTTAAATCTCCCCAAAACCCCAATCCCCAAATATTCTGTTATGGTTGGCAACGGTTCACATATTCAATGTAAAGGCATTTGCAATGTTGTCCAAATCACACTCCAAAATAAACCTTTTCCCTCCCATTTTATCTTTTACCCTTAGAAGGTGATGATGTAGTTCTTGGAATGGAGTGGTTACGTACTCTTGGTCTTATTCATGCTGACTTTTCTATTCCCTCCATCACCTTTAACCACAAAGACACGACTATAACCTTAAAGGGTGATCCAAAAACCTTACCTACCCTTATCACTTTTCCCCAACTCTGCCAACTTATCCATACAAACTCCATTTCCTCTTTTCACCTAATGACATTCCAAACTGTTGAAGAAAGTATCTTCACACCACTGCCCACCAACTCCACCACAAATTATTTTGAATTACTTAACCCCAAGATAGCTAACCTTATTCATACTTACCCAACTATTTTTGAAGGCCAACCTAGCCCCCACCATCTAGACAAAATGAACACTGAATCCCACTTTTGCCAAACACCCCACCCATTAATGTTAAACCATATCGTTACCCATATTCTCAAAAAGAAGCCATGACTTCTCTCATCCATGACATGTTAAGGGAAGGCATTATTATCCCAAGTAACATTCCCTTTTCTTTGCTTGTCCTTTTAGTTAAAAAAATGTGGTACCTGACATTTTTGCATTGATTATAGAATGTTAAATGTGGTAACTATAAAAGACCATTTTCCCATAGCTACAATAGATGAACTGTTAGATGAATTAGGAGATGCTAAAATCTTTACTAAGATAGATTTACGTCCGGGGTATCATCAAATCTGAGTTACACTGGAGGACACTAAAAAAATAGCTTTTTGAACATTCGATGAACACTATGAGTTTCTTGTTATGCCTTTTGGCCTTAGAAATGCACCATCAACTTTTCAAGCAGCCATAAATAATTTATTACGTCCCTACCTTCAACGGTTTGTTTTAGTCTTCTTTGATGACATCTTAATTTATAGTTCCTCTTTTAGTGATCATCTAGTTCATTTATATATCATTTTTAATTTACTTAAGTTACATGCCTTTGTTGCAAAACTTTCTAAGTGTGTGTTTGCAGTGGATACAGTTAATTATTTAAGGTATATAATTTTTGTGGGGAGCATTTCTACTGATCCTGAGAAAATCAAGGTAATTTTAGACTGGCCTGAGCGACGTTCTCTCACAGCACTACGAGGATTTCTTGGCCTCATTGGTTTTTATCGTCTCTTTGTTCGTCATTATGCCACACTAGAGCAACGCCGATTTGTTACGTTCCACTAAATTGTCATGGAGTACAAAGGCTGGTTCAACCTTTACAAAGTTAAAACAAAAAATAACCGACATGTCGGTCCTGGCTTGTCCAGACTTTACAAAAACTTTTATAATTGAAACTGATGCTTCAGGAGTCGCCATTGGTGCAGTTTTATCACATGATGGTCACCCTTTGGCCTTCTTCGAATTTTTTCTCAGAATGCCACGTTTCTGAAATAAATTTCCTAGAATGCCACCTTATGAAAATAATTGCCCAAAGTGCCACACCCAGGGGTTCATGCCATTTCAAATGGCGCGAATGTGGGCTGCAAGGGTTCTCGCCATTTGAAATGGCGTGAAAGGGCCTGAATAAAATTTTTTTCTTCATTTTCTTTTATTTACTTTAGTTATATTAATAATTTT